ATACAAGAGGGTTTCAGGTACACAAATTCTAGTCTCCACTCTCATTACGATTATCTTGAACCCTTAATAGACTTGGGCATTGAAGTGTTAACCATGCAGATACCCTTCTTAGGTCCACTATATCGGGGATTAGCAACACCCGTTCAAGATCAATGTCTTTAATTCAAGATATGTCGCGATCGCAATCTTCGACCAAGAAGTCGCATGACCAAATCGCTTGAGAAGCTTCGATACACCATAACTTCTAAAATATTCTCCTTTTTTGATTCTGGAACAGAACAAGGACGAAGAAAAATCAATGGAGTCAAAGATACAATTTGTTAAATTGTAATCCAATGTGTCGAAACTATGTGTCGAAAAGATTTGATTTGTTTTAGATTTAAATAGATTTAATTTAAGTCTAGAATAAATTAGATTTGATTTAGTAACAAAAAGATATTTTTGGATTTGGGCTTAAGGTGTAAGCTCAGTTATAAATAGAGGGAGTAACCCCTATTTTTGTAAGCAAGTCAAGCAAGTCATTCACAGTATTTTGCAGTTTCAAAGTGAATAAGAAAGTTTTCATAGTTTGTGAGCAGAGAGAAACTCTGCAGAAATTATTTGTCTTGTCTTCTTTTCTTTATTTTTCTCATAACTAATTGTCATTGTGGTAGAAGTTCATCATAGAGTTTTGGTGGATTTCCAACATCTGGTATCAAGAGCTTTTGTTTCGATTCGAGGGAAGTGTCAATCAAGAACGATTGAAGAATTCACGATGACAAGTTATGGGAATGCAAATTATCCAGCAACCCTACCAATTCTGAAAGTTGACAACTATGAGAATTGGTGCAAACAGATGAAAGTCTTATTCAGGTGTCAAGGTCTTTGGGACCTTGTGAAAGATGGAGTCGAAGCGCTTGGAGAAAATGCTTCAGAAGAAGAAAAGAAGAAATACATAGAATCTGAGAAGCTGGGTTATAAAGCATTATTTATAATTCATCAATGTGTCAGCCCAGACAATTTCGAAAAGGTTAGTGATTCAGAATCTGCAAAAGAAGCTTGGGAAATCCTTGATAAGTCTTTTGGAGGCGCTGAGAAAGTGAAAGAAGTGAGGTTACAAACTCACAAAAGGACCTATGAACTACTTCAGATGGAAGACAGTGAAAGAATATCTGATTTCTTCACTAGAGTTACAAAACTAGTAAATCAAATCAAGATATGTGGAGAAGCATTAACAACAAGAGTTGTTGTGTCGAAGATCTTGAGATCTTTAACTCCTAAGTTCGACCACATAGTGGTGGCGATAGAAGAGGGGAAAGACTTGTCGAAATTGACAAAGGAAGGCTTCAAGGGACGCTTGAATCTCATGAACAAATAATGAACGAAAGAGCTGCAGGAAAATCGAAGAGTGATATGGTCTTGCAAGCACATTCAGCAAAAGAGACCAAAGGCAAAGGAAAGTGTTTCGACAGAGACAGAGGTAGCTACAACAAATCGAATGGTAGAGGAAACTAGATTGAAGGAAACATTTCGAATCAAAGAAGACCATACCAAGGCAACCAAAGAGGTGGTGTTGCAAATAGAGGAAGAGGTGGTGGTCGAAAACCTGATAAGAGTCACATTCAATGTTACAATTATCAGAAGTATGGTCACTATTCGAGTGATTTTCCAGAAAAACGAAAGAATCAAGAAAGTGATGCAAAGCTTGCAAAACATGAAGAAGAATAAGAAGAGATGATGATGATGGTCACAACAAGAGATGAAGATAGATTCAAGGACCAATGATACTTGGATTCAGGATATTCATCACATATGTCTGGAAGGAAAGACTGGCTCGTCAATATAAAGCCCTCAATGAAAAATATGGTAAAATTTGCAAATGACAATACCCTAGCAGCTGAAGGTATTGGTGATGTTATGATTATGAGGAAAGATGGCAAAAGGTCAGTAATCTCCAATGTGTTGTACATACAAGACATGAAGAGCAATTTGCTCAGTATAGGGCAGTTGGTCGAAAAGAATTATAAAGTGTCAATCGAAGATAAGATGATGAGAGTCGTTGATGCAAATGGGAGATTAATCTTGAAGGCTCCTATGTCTCAGAATCGAACCTTCAAGATTGAACTAAATATGATGAAGCACAAGTGCCTTTCGACTACAGCTAGCAGAGATGAATGGATATGGCATTATAGACCAGGCCATCTCAACTTCAGAGACATCAGAGATTTGAAGAGAAGAAATATGGTTTCAGGATTGCCAGAAATTGACATTCCAAACGAGGTATGTGAGGAATGTGTGCAGGCGAAGCAACACAAGAATAGCTTCAGCAAGGATGCAGGAAGCAGATTGAAGGCTAGTCTTGAAGTCATATACTATGATGTATGTGGACCAATCCATGTGGATCCGATGGGAGGTAACAAATTCTTTGTTACATTCATAGATGATTTCAGTCGAAAGCTATGGACTTACCTGATCAAGAAGAAAAGTGAAGTGATCGAAGTATTTACCAAGTTTAAGTCTATGGTCGAAAGACAAAGTGGTCGAAAGCTCAAAGTTTTAAGAACTGATGGTGGTGGAGAATATGTGTCGAAAGACTTCGACAGATTATGTGAAAAGGAAGAGATTGTGCATGAGGTGGTGCCACCCTATACTCCACAACAAAATGGAATTGCAGAAAGGAAAAATCGAACCATCATGAATATGGTGAGAAGTATGTTGAAAGGCAAGAATTTACCTAAAGAGTTTTGGGGTGAAGCTGTTTCGACTGCAACATACATTTTGAACAGATGTCATACAAAGAAGCTAGAAGGAATTACTCCAGAAGAATGTTAGTCTGGTGTGAAGCCTAGCTTGAGTCATCTGAAGGTATTTGGATCTATTGCATATAGACATGTGCCAGACCAGTTGAGAAGAAAACTTGATGATAAGTCAAGTCAAATGATTCTAGTTGGATATCATTCGACATGAGGCTACAAGTTATTCGATCCAGTGAAAAAGCAGATTGTGATCAGCAGGGACGTGATCATAGATGAATTTAAAGAATGGGATTGGAATGAAAATATCAAGAAAGATTCAGTGGGAATCCTTCTTGAAGAGCCAAAAACTTAAGTCGAAAGAGAAGTTCAACAAGAGAAACCAGCAGATATACCAAGTACAAGCAGACCTCAAAGAACAAGACGCATGCCTGCAAGATTGCAAGATTGTGTGATTACATCAGATGATGTAATAGATAATGAAGGTGAGCTGGTACGTTATGCTTTCTATGCAGATGTCGAACCTGTTAATGCAGCTGAAGCATTAAAGGATTCGAAGTGGGTGAAAGCAATGAACGAAGAAGTAAACTCTATCAAAGACAACAATACTTGGTCACTTGTCGAATTGCCTCAAGGCAAGAAGGCAATTGATGTCAAGTGGGTATACAAAGTGAAAACAAATTCGAAAGGTGAAGTAACTCGACACAAAGCAAGACTTATGGCGAAAGGATTTCTACAAAAAGAAGGAATAGACTTCGATGAAGTTTTTGCACCTGTTGCTAGGATCGAAACAATCAGGTTGGTTGTTGGTCTAGCAGAAATAAATAGTTGGCACATATGTCAAATGGACGTGAAGTGTGCATTCCTAAATGGACCCTTAGATGAAGAAGTCTATGTTAAACAACCAGTTGGGTTTGTGAAACATGACGAAGAAAGAAAGGTGTACAGGCTACATAAAGCCCTGTATGGATTGAAACAAGCTCCAAGGGCTTGGAATAAGAAAATTGATAGTTTTCTAAGGGAGAAGGAATTTGTGAAGTGCACAAATGAACATGGAGTATATGTAAGAAGAAGCAAGAGTAAATTACTTATACCATGTCTCTATGTAGATGATTTGTTGATAACAGGTAGCTGTAAAAGTGAGATCGAAGACTTCAAAGGTGATCTCAGCAAGGAATTCGAAATGTCTGATTTGGGTGAGATTTCATATTTCATTGGTATCGAATTCTACAAGAGCAGTAGAGGTTTGATGATGCATCAAAGAAGACATGCAGGAGAAATTCTCAAGAGGTTTGAGATGGAAGAATGCAACTCAACTTCGACACCTGCAGAACTAAGACTGCAAGTCGAAGTATTCAGAAAGCTAAGAGCCATGATAAACATAGATAGTTTAGACACAATGAATTAGGTGGTGTGTTAAATTGTAATCCAATGTGTCGAAACTATGTGTCGAAAAGATTTGATTTGTTTTAGATTTGAATAGATTTGATTTATTTTAGATTTGAATAGATTTGATTTAAGTCTAGAATAAATTAGATTTGATTTAGTAACAAAAAGATATTTTGGGCTTTGGGCTTTGGGTGTAAGCTCAGTTATAAATAGAGTGAGTAACCCCTATTTTTGTAAGCAAGTCAAGCAAGTTATTCACAGTATTTTGCAGTTACAAAATGAATAATAAAGTTTTCACAGTTTGTGAGCAGAGAGAAACTCTGCAGAAATTATTTGTCTTGTCTTCTTTTCTTTGTTTGTTCCATAATTAAATTGTCATTGTGGTAGAAATTCATCATAGACTTTGATGGATTTCCAACACAATTGTTAATAAATGATGTTTAAAGACAGTAAAAGAAAACCATAAATCATAATCTCGAAAGGTAATGTCATACATAAAAAAAGGATACAAAGGATAATGCTGTGATTAAATTTTTTATTTTATTTTATCTATAAAATATAATTCATCTTTTAATTTTATTTAATCTACATACAGACCATTCCTGTGTGTCCCTACTGACGCGGGAGTAGTAGTAAAAATATGACCGAACAACGACCAGGTCAAGACTCCCAAAGGAGTCAAAATCGAACCAACCAACCAGTGGCAACAATTGTAATTTTATCCCAAAACAAGGCTAGTTTTGACAATCCCGTCCTATATATACATAACCAAACACCACATCTACGCCTCACTCACCAACAATACAAAGAAAACTCCACTGCACCTCAAATTAGCATCTTCTTTTCTTCTTCACTAATCACAAAAACTCACAGAAAAAGATGGGAGGTTCAAGGAGTAATAATGGCATCATGAACGGTGGTGGAAGAAGAAGAAGCATGATCTGTGAGAGACGTCCAATTCCAAAAAGAGGACAAGTGAAAGCTGGAATAGTAGTTGGTCTAGCCATCTCTGTAGCTTCCATTTTCTCACGACGCAGGATTGCACCTAGAAGCTGTTCTTCTCAGTAACTTGGCCGCCCACAACAAAGTTTTGATCATCATTTTCTATTTTGTACATATTGGGAAATGTTTTTGTGATTCCCTTATGTTATGTTCATATATGTGCAAATCTCTTGTTGTGTTTTCTTGGTAATGACTAATGAATCTGTTTGGTTCTTTTATTGAGCATAATTCTTTAAATTATGAAATTATGTAAATATTAATCGATAATCAATTTTATTTCTGAGTAGATTTCTTCCTTGCTTAAATATTAGGATAAATATGATGGTAATGTTAAGATGTGGTCCTTCAAATTTAAGAGGATGACTAGGCTAAGCAAAACGACAATACAAATAATTGGCGTAAACAATGGATTTAACAAGTTGTCACTTTTTAAAAAAAAAATAATATTGCTATTTTTGTTTTATTCAAATCTAATATTCCTTCCACTGAATTTTACATGATTAAACCAATGCATTTAGTATTTGAAAATTAGTATAGTACGATTATAGTACATTGTATCATTTTGTATCAGTAACTTCCCTAACAAGATTCAGGGCACTGCAATATTTTGATTACAAATCTACATAACAGCTTTTCTATCTCTTTGTTTGTCACTTTCCTTTGTAAAGTCTCTTTGTCACATTCACATTAGTATGTAATGAACATGTGCAAAAAAAAGGTGAATAAGAAGGAAAGTCATGCCATCTTTTTCATGTGTTCACATTGAATGATTATCATGCGTTTACTGTAGTAGCACTTCATGATATTGATGAAGTGAATCAAGAAAATATTCTCAATAAAATTACTTTATCCCTTCTAAAAATATGTCTCATTTTAATTAAAAAAATTAAAAAATCATTTTAGTTTTTTCACCAAAATTAAAATATTGAATACAAGCTTTGTTTTGCCTTTAAAAAAAATTTGATGTATCACTTTTTATCTGCGGGTCTCTTCTGAAATTATTTGTAAGTGAAACATTTAAAAGTCACACATTGTCTAATTCTTTTATATAAGCTGTATAAATGAAGTTTTTTTTATATCATTCAAGTTTTTTATATTATCTACTTCTATTTTTAATATATAAAAGTAAATTACTATCAAAATTATAATTAATCTTTAATTAAACCAGTTTAGAAATGGTCTTTCGTATCCCTAATTGTAATTTTACCGTTTTAATTATTGCATTCCTATAACTAATGCTGACAATCCAAAATTTTATTCCTACGTACATACTACATTGAAAACACTCAAAAATATTTTCCACTCCCTCTTTGATTCCTTCATTTGCTCTTTTATTTTGTTGTTCCCTAATCATATTCTTTCATGCATATGCATCATCAACTGTGGGATATTCTTTCCGTCTTCCGCCATTCTCCACTCAATAAACCTTTGATCTCCCTCTTTGATTTCTTCGCTTGTCAATTTATTTATTTCTTCCCTAACTGTCTATCTTTCCCTAATTTTTAATTTTTCATTATCCACGGTTAGGGTTAGTGTTCAGTTCTTCCAATAAGTTTGATGTTTTCTTTATCTTTTGATTTTCTTTGATAAGCTTTTTATGGTTTGAGATTTCACGTTTGGATTCAAATCAGTTACTGTAAGCTATTTACATTTTTGTTAATTTTTTACGGTTTCGTCATAACTTTGACTATGCTACAGTTTGATTGTGGTTTGATTCGGTGCAGATTTTGATTTGGATTAAAGTTTCAGCAATCATACAACACTATAATAAAATGGGACCATGCTCACAAGGTATTCGATAGAATGTCTCTGCTGACTCTTTCTTCTTTTTGATTTCGTTTCAGTTCAATTTTTGCTTTTTTTTTCTTCTGTATTTATAGATTTGGTGAATTTTGGTTTAAATCATGTAATTAGTTTTTAAGAGTTATGAGCTTTTAATGTTTTGACGGTTTAATCATGAATCTATTAGAAGATTAGACTGATTTTCAATTGGTGTTCGTTTAATCATGGATGAAAATTATATTTTTTAGAATTAAATATGTTTTTGGTTCCTATAAATATCTCAAATTTTATTTTTAGTCCATATTAAAAAATGATATATTTTGGTCAATACAAAATTTTTATTCATACAGTTTTTGTCTTTGCTGTTTTCTAAAATTTTGAAAATTGTTTAATTACTCGTAAACTTTTAAATTTTTGAATATTTTTTCATACGTGTTTAGAATACTATAAAGTGTTTCTTTACCAAATTTTAAAATTTTTTAAAATGAGATGAATTAAATATGAATTTTTTAAATTTCAAAAGATATTGATGAAAGTAATGAAAATCTCGACTTAAAAATCAAATTTTGAGTTCCTTTTATTTTGAAGAACTTTTTATAATATTCTAGATATGTCTGCAAAATAATCATTCAAAAATACACATATGTTTAACAATAGAGACTAAAACGATATGCATAATAATTTTGTAGGAATTAAAACATGTCATGTTTTTATAGGGACCAAAAACAAAATTTAGTAATTTATAAAGACCAAAAACATATTTAACCATATTTTTTACGATAGATATTTGATTGTCTCTTTGTAATTCTTTAAACAGTAGCATATTTTTCTTACAAAAAGTTGTTATTTTTTTATTTTTTAAATTTTGATATTTCAAATTCAAAAAGCGTTTATAAATTGTTGACTTAGAGTTTATTTCTAATTTTTTGATTAGTTTTGAAGTAGCACTTTCTCAAATATTTGGCTTCGATTTGGATTATTGCTCATGATAGAATGATTTGATACAACTGTTTTATTAGATTTTATTTGTTTATATAGTATTGTTTTGAATTTGTATTTTGTTTGTGAATTACAGTTATTAGTCTTGTACCTATACCTAGGTCCATTTTGGTTGTCATACAAGTTGGTCTATCATGGATGTGAAATTAACTTATATTGATTATCTATTTATGCATCAAATAGAGAGAGACAACTTCTGCAATAATAAAGGTGCATCAATTCCTATTAATATAAAATTTACTCATTTTTACATTTATATCATTAAATATATTTTTAGTCTCTATAAATATTTTAAATTTCATTTTTAGTTCTTATTAAAATAATGACATGTTTTAACCCCTACAAAATTATTATGCGCGTAGTTTTAGTCCTTGTTGTTAAACCAATGTGTATTTTTGAATGATTATTTTGTAGACATGTTTAGAACGTTATAAAAAGTTCCTTAGAAAAAAAAAGAAATTTAAAATTTGATTTCTAAGTCGAGATTTTCATTATTTTTATTAATATCTTTTGAAATTAAAAAAAAAAAAATTATATTTAATTCTTTTCATTTTAAAAAATTCTAAAATTTTATAAATAAACATTTTATAGTATTCTAAACACGTATGAAAAATATTATTTAAAAATTTAAAAATTTAAGGGTAATTAAACAGTTTTTAAAATTTTAGAAAATAGCAGAGACTAAAACTGGATGAACAAAAATATTTTTAAGGACCAAAATTTATCATTTTTTAATAGGGATTAAAAATGAAATTTAAGATATTTATAAGGATAAAAAACATATATAACCCTATCATAAATTATAAATTATTAATAGTGATGTGGTCCAGTTGTAGAACAACTTGTATAGCAACCTGTGATACGGTGGGAGAACTGACTTGGATGTTTTGCGTTTTATCGCAATTGTTGCAAATAGCAAGAGTCGCCACCGACTTTTCTTTTATCCAATAAAGAAAATGGTGAAAAGAACAGGAATTACCCTTTGAGAATTTTTCTTGAGTTCGGGGGTAGCTTATGAAAAGGGAATGTGTTAGCACTCTTTTCATCTGTAGTTATCTACGAGCTCTTAATTGCTTGATCACTTTAAAATACTGTGTTTGTGTGTGTTTGAAAATGTTTGAAGGTATTTTGAAAATGGTAATTTTTTAATGATTCTCGTATCGTTGAGAATGTATACAAAATATTTGTTTGGAGATATTTTGGAAACGCCTTAGTATGACAATTTTGTAATGATTCTCGTATTATTGAGAATGTATACAAAATAGTTCTTTTTGAAAGATGTTTTGAAAGTGTGATGTGTGGAAATGATTTTGTTTGCGAGCAAGCAATTACGAGCAATCTACCTATTCAAAAAGTCTTTGTTCTTTTTCTCCTCCTTTAGATAGTGTTTGTCTACCATTAGTTAGTAGGAAGCCATATCATTGGATGTGAGGGACATGCGTGGTCGTCGTACAACCATAGAAGGTGTGATCGGTGGATCTGGAACTGACTGTTTTAAAGCTGGTTCGCGAAATGTCGCGGAAGCAAGAGTCGCCACCGTCTTTTATTTTCTCCAATTGGAAAGGACAAAAGCACAGAAAAATTCCTTTAAAGAGATTGCTCTCGGTTCGGGAGGTAGGTTATAGAAAGGGAAGGTGTTAGCACCCTTTCTATCCATGGTTATCCATGGGCTCTTAGATACTTGCTCAATGTGTTTTCAAAATGTTTGCTTGCTTTTCAATGTGGGTTTCAAAAAGTTTCTTTGAAAAATTTCAGTTCGACTCGTACGTCAGAGTGTTTGAAAAGTTTGTTTGAAAGTTTTTTGAAAGTGTGTGGGTGAAAAAAGGTTTTTGTTTTGTTTGAAATTAGAGCAAGTATCCTTGAGAACCTACCTATCCTAAGGAATTCGTCTGTGTAAATGTCCTTTAAAGTAGTGCCATCCCACCATTGAGAGGTAGGTAGCACCACCGTTGGAGGTGTTCGGGTCAATTCGAGTGTATAGGGACATGGTGATCACCGGAGCAATGGGAAGACACCTTAGAAGCTACCCTCATGCCAGGTTCCCGGATCATGAGGACTTACTAAGACGTCCTCTACTCGACGATCACCTTTCGAAAGGCAACAGTGAGGCGTACCCTAGGGGTGGGGTGTGAATTGTGTGTCATTTTCAGTTTATTGTTTGTCTTGTCATGCATTGGTGATCTAACGATTCGATTTTATTTTTGGGCATTCATTCTTTCATGTTATTGTTTAACAGTTAAAAGTGCGGGAATTTAAAGTGCGGAAAAGATAAAAGTCCTACGCTA